TCCCCAGTGTGAGTCCTTTCATGTATTTTACATTGATTGTGCCTAGTGAAAGCTTTCCCACATTGCTTACATACATAGGGTTTCTCCCCAGTGTGGGTCCTTTCATGCATTTTACAATAATTCTGTGCCCTGAAAGCCTTCCCACACTGCTTACATACATAAGGTTTCTCCCCAGTGTGAGTCCTTTCATGTATTTTATAATTATTCTGTGCCGTGAAAGCTTTCCCACATTGCTTACATACATAGAGTTTTCTCCCAGTGTGAAGTCTTTCAGGATTAGTAAGTGAAGTGTCATTATTTAAGGATTTCAAACAGTGTTTATTTGCATAGGATTCTGTCCCATTGTGAGTTCTTTTATGTTTCTGAGTATCACGGTGAGAATTCAAACCTTTTCCACGTTGTATACATATATAGGTATTCATCCTTCTGTGATTTCTTTTTAGGGTTTGTACATAGTTGGGTGTACTCAAGGGCCTCACATCTTGCTTATATCCAGTGGGTTTTTCTTCAGGATTTGTCTTTGCGTGTTTCTCCAAATACTGAAAGTGAGTGGAGGTTTTCCCATGTCTGTCACAGTTAGACAGCTTCTGTTCCAATCCATGGAGCTCATATGATTGGAGTCTAGTGTTATTTATGATGGGCACAGTTGGTGATGAATGACCAATCAGAGGCTTTCCACATGCAGGGCTTTCACTTGGTTTTATACCAGGAAGTTTCATGTGCACATCTGTATCAGGAGTCACAAAAACCATTTTTCCATGTTGATACCATAAGTTAACTACCTCTGCATTTCTGTCAAAGAAAAAAACAAGAAAAGAACCAGTCACATTTAAGGTGTTTTTATATTAATGGTTGACCAAGAGGATATCTAATTTGATGCCCCATAAGCATATTTGATCATAAATTTACTGTACACTCTGGATGACGTCTTGGAAACAGTTTTACCAAAATAGCATTCACTTGGGAGTTTGGAATTGATATGTTTGCAATATATACTCGTTGCTTTCATTTTAAATAATTTGTACATATGTATACCATGTTGATTATTTTTCATACACTTTTCATGCATCACTCTACCCCTTCCCCTTAGCATCTTCACCCTCTCCAAAATGTCTGCTTTTCTCTTTTCTGTCATCTCTCCTTTATTTTATTTAATTCATATTATTCATTTCTCCTGCAAAATACAACACATGACATTGAACTTTCTGTGTTTTTCTTATTTAAGATAATGTAGGTCCAAGAACCATCCATGTTTTGGCAAATGGTATCATTTCATTCTCATTTATGGCTGAATACCACTCCATTATATATACACACACATTATTTTCAGTGCTGGAGAGTGAACCCAGGGTTTTACTACTGAGTTGCATTCTCAGAGTTCTTTATCTTTATTACGAGACTGAGTCTCATCAATCATTAAGTTGCCCAGGCTGATCATGAATGTGACTCAGCTTCCCAGTATGCTGCATCCTGCCCAGGCTATCCCAGTTTTCCCTTCTACTCATCTTTGAGTGTATATCTAGGCTGTTTCCAAAGCTTCACTTTTGTAAGTTTTACTGCTACAACATGTATATGCATGTATCAGTGTAATATGATTACTTTAACTTTGGGGGAGCACACCCAGTAGAATACCTGGAAAAAATGGAAATTCTATTTTATATTTTTGAAGAACTTCTATACACATTTCCACAGATGTCATACTACAATGACATTCCCACCAACATTTTGGGAAGGTGCATTCTAATAGCTGTATTTCGGAACATAAATAGACCGATTGCTTGAAAAGACCTATTATGAAAACAGGATTATGGATTTTTAATAGTTCCTCAAGGTTAGCAATGTTGCAAATATTGCATCACATTTAAATAAATACAGCATTACTTATATAACTTGTTCGATAAGCAAGCAGTCTTTGGAAAACATGCCTATATGTAATTGGATACGCTGCACTTGGCTTAAAAAAACACAAAAATTTCATATAAACTTATAATCAATGCTTAAATATAATTTCAGACAACAGTTCTCTTTTTTTTTGGTACTGAGAATCGAACTTGGGTCCTTGTGCTTGTGAGGCAGACAGCGGAACCACTAAGCTAAATCTTTGGCCCTCAGACAATAGTTCTATAATCTTGAATATAGACAATAATTTCTTTATTATTATGCTTTAGATAATGTCACTTGTGGCATAATGCCAATAATCCTTACATTTCAGATATTGAGATATTTCAAATAATCATTTGTCAGATTCTAGATACTAAACACATATGCATCTTTGGAGAAATTTTGTGCAATTAAAAAAATTTGAACATGGCCTGGCCTCATTTTGATTGTTTGTTTCATTTTTGAGAGGACTCCCTACATAGTTCATGCTGGCCTCAAACTTCTGGCAATCCTCCTGCCTCATTCGCCCAAGTGTTGGGATTACAGGCACATGTCACCATACCTGGCTCTTTGTATTTTTTTTAACATGACCTCCTATGTGTAGTTTGCTTGGTTTCAATATTTCTGACCTTCAAGGAACATTCTTTTAAGTGTATATTACCTTAGATTCTCCCAGTAATTTTTGTACTCATCTTCAATTTGCTGGTTATCCCAATTTCTTCCTAATGTGTAGAAAAAGTAATATAATGAGTTACCATATTATACACAAAATTATTAGCTTCCAGTTAGACTCATAGTATAATGTGGCCATGCCTGGAAAATTCATGAAAATATTTCCATATTCCAATAAATTAAATCGTGCTGATGAGGAATAACCAATGCCCCCTGATTGCATAAATGAGAACAGACATCTTCCTTACCTATAGAGGCCACATTCCTAAAGTTTTCCCACATCACATCTCTGTAGAGCTTTTTCTGGGATGGATCCAACAAAGCCCACTCCTCCATGGTGAAGTTCACAGCCACATCCTCAAAGGTCACTGCCTTCTAAATCATCAGAAATATATTTCCAGGAAGAAGAATAAGACTCACAACATGAAGTATCTCAAATCTACCCATAAAAAGCTGAAATAAGGCTAAGCCCCCCAAATGGTTACTTCATGCCTTGGTCATCAAGCACTTACTCTTTATCTACATGCACTTGACATGGGGGAATTTTGATACTAGATGGGAATTCACTGCTAAAGAAACAGAAGAACAGGAATACTGGTTCTCTTGTTGATTAATCACACTTTTATTTCTACACTGTCTGTAAAGCATGGTTCATTGAGAGCCTATTAGATCAGATGTGGGGTAAAAAGAACTGGGGCAGATGAATATCTAATGACTTGCTCTGACAGAAAACTGAAAATGTATCTATTTTCATATTATTTTCTAGGAAATAGACCATCTCCTCCTCTGATTGTATTACACAGCATTGTGAAACTTGAAACTGGTTTCATAGACAAAACTGTAAATAAACACAAAGTAAAATTCTGAATGGTAATTTAAAACTCGAATAAAAAGTATTATAGTATTCACTGAAGAATATCTAACAATGAAATTATATTAAGGAAGACATATTATATTATAGCTCAATGTCATGAAATGCTTACCTGTCACAGAGATACAAAAATTTCTAAGGTGTAATAGAAAGGGAAATGTGGGGATGGACCAATCAACTGAAGGCCAGGCCCCTAGTCACATGCTAGGGCTATGCACCCATTTCAGGGAGCATGACGAGGATGTGTGTCCCTTCCCACTCATGCACTGTGGCCCATATGCCCTGCCTGGGGAGAGTCCCAGGAGTCACCAGTCAGTGTGGAATTGAGGACAAACGGTAAATTATGCAGAAGTACTCAAAGAGACCACAGGAAAAGAGGACCATCCAGCAGCTAATAACACTAGGCTAATTGGAATAGAGAAAACCAGAAGGTAACACAGATGGAATTATTAATATGTTCACAGAAATCATAAAGAATATCCTTGTTATACTGCCATATATCCAAAAAGAACAACAAAAATTAATGCAGAGAAAAAAATTTTAAAATCACCTATAAAGGTAAACCAATTATAATTACAACAAACTTTTTTGTGTGTGTGACAGGGTCTCACTATACAGTTCAGGTTGGCCTGGAATTCACTATGCAGGCCACGCTAGCCTTGAACTCAGGGGATCCTCCTGCTTCAGCTTCCAGAGTGCTATAGAAGAGACTTCTTAATACAAACCTAAAAACGACAAGGGCTTGCAAAAATGTATTTCAAGCCCTAAGAGTGAATAACTTCCAACCTAGTTTAACTTACCCAGTAACCTCACTTTCAAAATAGAGGGAGAATTAAGGACATTTCATGAAAAAGACCACCTCAAGAGGCATATGAATGCTAAACCAGCACTTCAGAAAATACTCAAGAATATCCTAGACAGAAACACTGTAGCCAATATATTCTTCACTGTAGTGATTGTTTGCACTTAAAACTGAGGCAAGTTGTTTCAGACTTATGACCCACCACTCAGACTTGTGCCTCATATTTTTTTCCGTACAGTGCTGCCCATATTGATAGAGCTGCAGTGTCTTTCTGTGTATAGTACACCTTGCTTATGGAGTACTCTAATTTTTACTGATTGTACTGTATTTTTATGTGGTTATGTATTACAGTACTGCATGTAAGGGTTATGCAAATAAAAGCAAAGACACCAAGTTGGAGTTTCCTTATTGTAATGTACATACTGTACAGAATTCCTCATTTGGCACCCCATTCATTTAGTGACTGAATCACAGGAACAGGCATCAGGCATGAAATGAAGAATGCATGTAGCCTACTGTATTTTAGGCACATTCACTAAGCATGCTGTGCAAATAAGCACAGTATTCATGAGAAGATGAATGTCTTCAAACTATGTATTATTTCTATAATGTCTAATACTGTTGGTGAATAAAGTACCTTATATATTCTGTATATTGAGACAACAAAGTAACCTCAAAAAATATGTAGTTTCCCTATTTTGATCCAGAAGGGAGTGATTTGGACCATGGTTTTCTGACACCTGTCGATCACATAAAATACAGGCAGAACAGCTATGTCAAAGGACCAGAAACATTTCTCAGTGCACTCTTTCTGTTGGGCTCACTTCCAAGGACTATGTGCTTCCAACAGTTCTTGAAGGGATAACAAAACTGATTCCTTTGGAGTTAAATTCTCAGATACAGACATACTCTTTAGAAGTGATGTCATGTTTCAAATTTTTGGTACGTAGAAATGTCTCATATCAGATGGGTGCACATATTTTCTCAAGGGTTATATATACACTTGTACACCACAGGAAACAACTGAACAATTAATTATCATGGTTATTCTTAGCTCTACAATGGTTTTGCATGTTTAGTTTTTGTCTTATACCCCTGACTAGTAAAATCTTTTACTACATACTTTCTATCCTCCAAGGTGTCTACTGCAGGGGTGGACAGAGCAGTAATGTAATTTACAAGATATCACAGAATTATAAACCTGCTTGACTCTGTAAAACTCACCATAAAAGGCAAATATCCTTGCCAGTGAAACTGGCACTAATGGAGCTACTTGTTTAATGGCTGTTTAGACTTATGACTGAGACACACAGTTAAGACTTACAACTCACTGCTCAAACTTATGACCTGTCTTTTCTTTTGTACAGTTCTATACATTTTTTGATGGAACCTTGATGTCTTTATTTTGTATAGTATGACTTATAAAACATTGTAATTTTTGCTGATTGTACTTTACAGTACAGTTCTATAGTTTTATGTTCTGTGATACATTACAGTATTGCAAATAAAAGCAAAGTCAAGTTACAGTTTCCTTTGACCAGTTCTTTGTTCTGAATATTGTAAGGTACATAGTCTATATAATTCCTCATGTAGCATTGGTCCCTAGCATATGTGATGCTACAGGTGCAATGTGAAGTACTACATACACACCAGCACACACACACTCACAAACTCAGAGAGACACAAAATTATAACTAAGTGATGTTTGTATATTTTATCAAGAATTAGGATAGTTTAGCATCAAAAATGCAAATCAACAAAGAAAAACTTCATGTGATTATTTGAATCTTGGCATAAACATGTTTTCTAAATCTTAATTTCTATTAGTTATTTATTAAAGGTTTCTACGAAAAAGCCAAAAGTTATTAACAACTAGATAAACCACATATACCAGAAAACTAACACATGGAACTCTTAATGGAGACACTCTACATGAACTCTTTTAGGATTAGAAATGAATCAAGGACATTCACTATCTCCACTATTCTGTCACATGACACCAAAATTCATGTATCATGTTATAATGCACAGAAATCAGTGACATAAAGATTGAAATGGAAGAGGCAAAATCATTATTCACAGATGATGAAAACTATCAAGATGTAACATCTGAGAACAACAAGAGATCTATCTTCTCAGCGATCAACTGAAAAATATTATGACGATCCTCTTTCTCATAGTTTCAATACTCACTAAAACTATATGAATACAAAAAGCCAAGGGATTCCCAATCAGAAAATATAGTATAAAGGAACAACTCTCAAGAAAATATTTGAATCATGGTCAGTATCACATAATAACTAGAGAGAAAGAAATGGCCTTTGGATTAGGTTTGTTTAAGGATGGGTTTCTGACATGCTACAAGTTTAAAAAAATGATTTGTTATAATAGAATCCAAAGTGCAAGAAGTGCACTTTTTGTTCATGTGAATATCATGAACATCGTAGGGAAGAAACTATATATATACTTTTTTTTTTTTGGTACCCAGGATCGAACCCAGGTCCTTGAGCTTGTGGGATAGGCAGTGGAACCACTGAGCTAAATCTCTGGCCCAGAAACTATATTTTTATTTTTTATTTTTTTTAATTTTTTAAATTTTTTTATTTTTGGTACCGGGGATAGAACTCAGGTCCTTGCGCTTGCGCAGCAGGCAGCGAAACCACTGATCTAAATCCCCAGCCTCAGAAACTATATTTTCAAAAACACATTTTATTAGAAGATTGAACTTTTATCAATTTTTGTGTAAATTTCTAACATCCGCCTTAAAAGGAGTTACCAGACGGACCATTCTGCTACTTGTCTCAATTTGTGCCAATATTTTTTTATACAAGAAAATCTTCCTCATAAATCGCTATAAAGGAAAGACTTTATCAACAATGAGAAATAGTCACACACCTCCAAGCATTTATGGATCCAACTTTATAAAACCTTACCAACAAATTCTTTAAAAATCTGCAACACAGTCACAGAGAGCAATACTATGCACAGATAAAATGTGACAGCCAGGCATGGTGGACATGCCTCTAATCCCAGCAGGTGGGAGGGATGAGGCAGAAGAAAACCACAAATTCTTTTTCAGGGTTTTGTTTTGAGACAGGGTCTCACTATGTAGTTCAGGCTGGTGTTGAACTCACTACGTAGCCCAGCCTGGCCTCCAACTTCTGGCGATCCTCCCACCTGGCCTCCCAAGTGTTGGCATTTCAGCAGGCACCACCACGTCCAGCTACAACACAAGTTCTTGTTTGGCTTGGCCTAGAGTTCAAGGTCATCTGAACAACAGAGGGAATCCAGATCTCAACAAACCAAAAGAAGGTCGTTGTGCCCCCGCTCAAGTTGGCCTGGTGTCATGCAAGTGTAGCCTCCCCGCGAAGGCTTGGGGGAGGCCAGGAGCCTTGCTCTTTCTCTGGCACTGAGGTGGCAGCAAAATCAGGGAGATGAGGCAAGTGGCGGGGGATCCATGACAGCTGCAGTCCCAGGAGCAGCAGTGTGCTTCCCTCCAGGCACCCAGGCTCCAGTGCCCCGTCCTGCACCGAGTCAGAGGGGCCATGGCCCGGGCTGACCAGTCACCCCGCCCGCCCCTCGCTGCCTGGTAGGGTGACAGTGGCCACAGGCGCCCACCTCTATGAAGAAGTTCAAGCACAACCAGACCTGGACCTTCAACCCAGAAAATCAAGAAGTGGGTGGGGTGCCTGAGCTTCCGCA